GAGAGCGGCCGTGTGCGTTGGACGACGGGCCAGCGAGTTATAGGAAAGTTACTGGGATAAGGAAGTGACTTTAATGAAGTTGCTACACAAAGTCACTTGTGACCAATATATAGAAAAAGAAAATAGAAAATGAAATTTAAAAAGATACTGTCTACAGCCACACCGATGGGCTGAGGCGCACACTGGAGGTCAGTCAGCAGAGGGACGGGTCGGGGCAGGTGACCGTGAAGGAGGTCAAGGGGACAAACGTCCAGTTCAAACAATGAGCCTCGTGGCGGTCACTTCGTAACGCCGGCACCTATCGGGCCGCGTGCTGCCGCCGGAGAGGAGTCGGCGGCGTGACAGGGATGGCGTGCAGGCGCATCATGAACCAGCTCCATCAGTGAGAAACGGGGGGCAGGAGAGGAAACCCACAGATTCGACAGGCAGGTCACAAAGAGGATCCACCAGGGGCCAAGGAGGGCACGGAGCTGCTGGCCGCGTCCACGGTCAGGGCAACGCACACAGGACAGCAGCTCAAGGAAAGTCCCTTTCACGTGCAACCCCAGTCGCCAGCGGGGGGGAGGGGAGGGCGCAGGAGGCGGCCAGGCTGCAGGCGCTCGGAGGGGTGGGTGCAGCGCCCCCGGCTGGAGGCAGGCGGGGGCGGGGGTGCCAGCGAGGAGAGCAGGTACGACGGCAGCGCCTCAGCGGACAGGGCCTCCCAGAGCTGACCGCTTCCAATCTAACGCTGACCCCCGGCGGACACACATCTGTCTTTATTTTTTTGGTTAATCCTCACCCAAGGGTATTTTCCCGCTGATTTTTAGAGTGGAGGGAGGAGGAGAGAGAGAGAGACATCCACGTGAGAGACACAGGCCGATGCCTCCTGCACGCACACGCCTGACTCTTTGGTGGGCGGGGCCCATGCCCTGTCCTCTGACCACACGGGCCAGGGACAGACCCGCATCTTTTAAGCTCTAAGTGCAGGTGGGTGCAGGGCACCGCGAGTCCCGTCCCCACCCCCACGGGCACTGCAGACCAGGTCAGAGGGCGGCCCCACAGGGCGCCCATGGGGCTCACCCGGAACGCAGTGCCCTCCTCGATGATGGTGGGCAGCTGGGAGAGGCAGATGTCCACGGCGAGGTCCCAGGCTTGCCTGGGGAGAGAGCAGAGGACACAGGGCATCACTGACCGGCTCCCGCTAGGACCCAGGGCGGAGCAGGGCAGCAGCTGGGCCGGGCCCCGGGGAAGGCAGAGGAGCTAAAGCCATTTGTCTGTAGCTCTTTTCTCCTCGAGCTGAAACGAGAAAGAGGCCTGGGAACAAGAGGGACCGTCCCACCGTCTAAAGCAGCGTCCGCGGCGCGGCTGGCCCACTGTCTAAAGCAGCGTCCGAGGCGCAGCCTGCCCACTGAGGGCGCGGCTGCCCACCGAGGCAGGGGCAGCGTCACACACCAGCACTGAGAAACGCAGGCCAGGCCACGCGCCTCCTTAGGAACAGGCCAGTGTGAGGCTGGGAGAAAGGAGGTCTGTCTGAGGCCCCCACCATCCCCAATGCCCGCGTGGTGCCCATGGAGTCAGGGCTGGCTTGCCAGCACTGTTGGGCCCATCACCCGGGCCCCACGCAACCACTCTGGGCCTCCCGCCTGGCTCCCCCTCCCCGTGGGCTCCCGG